TACGTACACATACGTGATACAGTTACGGTACAGAAAACATACACTCATCCACACACGCATTGGTTAAGTTCGTTCAATAAGGTGAGTCCCAAAATGGACAGAGCGCATGCGTGTAGCACTAGAGGGTTACTGGTGTTAACCACTTGCTGCGGGGTGGTTTGAAAAATGCAGTGCACGTGATTGGGACTTTTTCAATTTTCAAAATTCTTCAAAAATTCATCATTTTAGTTAATGGATGTTTACACCCACATGAATTACTGTCTGGTGGTCACTCTAGTCTGACAGACAAAATCTATTGACACCCGAGTATTTCAGCCAGGCCTGCAGCCTTGTAAAAATAGCCCAGATTGTGCGGTGTTTTATGTAACTTTCTGTTGTTCACGAACCTGGCACAGTGCACTGCTGACCTTTTTTCAATAGGGGCCAGATTAGTATGCAGCGGTGCTGTGTGGCTCATGGCTGTGGTGGTGGAGCACTTTTGTCCCCAGTGGTAATCCGCTCACAGTAAATGCCCCAAACAGTGGTATACTGTTTCAAAACAAGGCTGGATTTTCCCCACTATTGAGAGTAAAAAAATGTTGATAATGCCCAGCAGTCTTTTGTTACAAGGCCCATTTCCCTTTGTCCAATTCCGGGCCCCCCAGCCATGCATATAAACACACAGTTCCCGAAATCGGGCTCCCCGACAGGAAGTGGTTAATGTACTCATGCTGGCCAATTATAAACCACAACCTGTGCTGCTAATAAACAGATATCAGTAAAGCAGTGTGGGACTTGTCATTTGACATTTCTTGGGAACCACGGCAAAGGAAACTGATACTGAAGCATGATTTATTTTTAATGCTGACTTACACAAAGGAATTTTTGTGGTTTGTAGAAAAGGGACCAAGAAAAACATGCCAGATGCATTGCAGATGATCGGGACTTTTGTCAAAAGGCCGACTTGGATGATATGACGAGTTACGCGATGCTGAATTAGTTGGAGTTTACTGTACTGTGACTGTTAAAAGGTCTGACAAAAGTGTGCCTACTGGCTGTGCTCACTATTGTTAACGGTTTGCCACGGTTGCCTTTTGCGACGGGGCCCGCGTAATTGAAATGAAAAGGCGGACTTGGCAAGTATTTGTTGATTTCCCTGTTGATCCAATCACAATCTCTATTCTAGTGAGTAAAGGGAAATGTTATAATGCCTTGATGTAAGACAAAAGTATTTGGTTATGGAGCAGTCTTCCATCTTTGGACGCTCCTTACCTGCAGTTTTTCTATTTTGGATACAGAATGATCTTGATTCCCCGTGCATGTAATGATATGGCCGTAGTCCTCCATATTGAGGATTCAAGTGGCCACGTTGAACACAGTACAATATATCATGGCTCACTATTCTTTCCTTATAATGATTACTTCAGCTTCTGTTTCCATGTGGCCGAACTTCCTACGCAATCACCGAGCATCTGTCAGCCGGCCTCCCCTTTGTACGTCTAGGTCGGAATGTGACTGTGACAACGGATGTGTCGCTATTCAGATGGGGCCATTCTTCCTCCACTCCATTCCTCCGGGGTCTGGGGACACCACCTCTCGAGAAAAGCACATCAGCAGGTTAGAGCTTCAAGGAGTGTTCAGCGCTCTTCACCACTTCCAACAACACCTAGTAGGTTGTTCCATTCAAGTCCAGAGCGACAACTCCACGGTAGTGGCGTACACAAACCACCAGGGCGGCTCTTCATGTGGACGAATGATCAAGGGATCACCCTCCAAGCTGTCCACATAGCAGGAACCAGCAACAGCATAGCAGATGCACTCTCTCAGGCACCGTCCGACCAACAGGGTGGATTCTTCACCCGAACGTGGTCAGCAAGATTTTTGCAGAGATCGAACGTCCCCATATCAACCTCTTCGCTTCCACCGGCAAAACCCATCGCCCAAAGTTCTGCTCCAGGTTCCCTCACCCATGGGCATGGGTGACAGGCGCCCTACAGTTCAACTGGTTGGGCCTTCTGGCGTATGCCTTTCCTACAATATCCTGGACATCCTGTCCAAGATGGAACGAGAGCCATGTCAGATCCTCCTCATCACTCTGTGCTGGCCTCACCAACTGTGGTTTCCAACACTGACAAGACTCTTGGTACAGTGGCCATAGGTCCTTCCAGTCAGGGAGGACATCCTTTGTCAACCCAAGTCAAGGATCCTCCACCCAGCACTGGAGAGTCTTCACTTGACGTGCTAGACGTCGTCCAACGGTCCTTCAGGGCATTGGGCCTTTCTGCAGATGCTGCGTCCGTGGCGGCCCAGGGTCAACGACTGTCCACCAGCAAAATTTACAACAGCCATCGGCAACATTTTACTAGATGGTGCGACGACCACAATGTTTCTCCAACCGAAGCTCCTGTGAGTTCCATTGCAGACTTCCTCACATATCTGTTTTACTCTGGCCTCCAGATTACCACCATCCTCAACTACTGGTTGGCCTTGGTGGCTGTTCACTCAGGCTTCAGGAATATTTGTCAAATCTCGTCTTATCCTGGGACCTCGGAAATGTCCTATGCATTCTTGCTGGTCCCCCATTCGAACTGCTGTCTGATGCACCTGACCTCCATTTCGGCATCAAACTGGCATTCCTCCTTATGGTCGTTACATTGAGACGAGGTAGCGAGCTTCATATCGTATCGATTGCCAATGGTCACATCTGCTGGGAGCCACAGGGTTCGCCTTATCCCCAACCATCGGGTTTCTGACAAAAAAAACAGATGCCTACCTTTCAGCCTTCCAACATATTCATTCCCAACATAGCTGCACTTTTGGGAGATGACTCTGACAAGAGATGGTGTCCAGTCTGGACTCTCTTGTCCGGACCAAGCATCGCCGAGAATCTAATTCCCAGTTCTTCATTACCACGACGAAACCCTTTCATCTGGTGTCGAAGGACACTATTGCCCGATGGACAGTCTCAGTCATTATCTTCTCTAACCAAGACTGGCTGGCACAACATGATGAGACGACTCCATCTCACATCAGGGCTGACGGTGTGCGGGCTGCCTCTGCATCCTGGTCGTACTTCTGAAGAATTCCTCTAGCCGAAATCTGCCAGGCGGCTCGCTGGAAATCTCCCTCCACCTTCACTGAGTGTTACCTGAAAGATGTTCTGCAGAGCAAAACAGCCCATGGCAGAGCAACCTTGCACTCAGTGGTTCGGACAATGTCCATCAGTGTTCCGGGCCAGCTAGGGGTTTCTTCTGGTAAGTGCTCTCTCTGGCGACTCCTGCCTTATGGTTCTATTAATAACTACACTCCCGTCACCCACCATCCTCCAGGGTATGGTGCCATTCTTCATATGTAGGCTAGGCAGGGGTATGTGAACACAGGAGACTCCTCCCCCACGCAAGTGTGGGTCGGGTTTCCTAGTGATACCAGTAGGAGCTCTGACCCACACTAATGTGGGGGAGGTATTGGCGTGCATGTTGCATGTACTGTGTTAAGTGGTGCTCAGCCAGCCAGTGTTTTATCAACCATCTAAGACCATCCATTTGAGGGGCTGTTGACTGCAGATAGTAATGGTTAAACTATCTTCAATAGGTATTTATAGAGGCATATTTAATACACATGTACCAGCTGTAGCATCCTGGTAATATGTACCTTTATCATGGGGCAGCCATCTTGCTTTTCTACCATTCAACACAACAAGTGGATACAATTTCTTTTGGTAGTACTCCAAGCTTTGACCATGTTTAGTGGTAAGCTGTGTACATGTATGTACAGTATACACATACATGTACATTGCACATTGGTACATGTTTTTCCAAAATGCACAGGTTGGTTCCAAGAACACTAATATAGTAACAATGTAGTTTATACTACTTATGATGGAAGGGGGCCACACTGAGAAACTACTGTCTAGTGTGCACAGGAAATACCTGATTTTAAAATCCTCAGATGAGTAATAACTTTTGAGCTCCTGCGTAAAAACACCTGGGTAATTAACTAGTTTGCCACACATTAGTTCATTGGCTCCTAATGTTTTCCCATTAAGTGTGGGCGCGACAGCACAGTTGTACTTTGCGTGAAGTGGTAGCGGTACCACGTTAAACATGGACAGTTGGATTTACACTGAATTGCAAACATACATGTAGCAATGCCAACAAAATAATACATGTAGTGGCACAGTCATCCATGACTCTTTTGCCATTTTTTTCTTCAGTGAACAGAAATCATTTTAGAACAGCTTTTTATTTCTAGTTAGTCATTATTAATTTATCGTCCTCAAAGACATTTAGACTACACTTTAGAAGCAAATCTCATTCTTGTGGTTATTGCACGTGCTGTGAAAAGAAGTTGGACAGGTTGAGGATGCTGGGAATTTGTGCGTTTTTATCAGTATGGGGACTGTCTAGACTGTCATATACAGTACCTGTAACACTGCCCACACCGGGTTAGCCTTCATGTGCGTACCATAACATACACATGATATGAGTGTGATTGCATGGGCCTACTTGACATGTTTATGCTGTAGGGATTTAGACATTCGGGGAGGCTATTGTTTTGGTCAAGATATCATAGCAGAAATTAATGTAAATAAAGTGTAAATGAAATGTTCAAAATTTAAATTGGTAGCCAGCTTTTGAAGCGTGCCAGCTATTGCCGAAACATTTGAGAGTCAAATAAAACTTGGCAGGCAGCTTCTATTGGTTTGAGAACACTGTTACTTTACAACAAGAAAATAAGAATTGTTGTAACATATGAAGTAAACTCAGGCATCAGCCTGGACATTGCAATATCCTTTCTTAATCTGGCTTAAAAGTTATTACACAAAGTTGTCACCCTGCAAGTAAGGGTGTACTTCAACAGATGTTCCTGGGTGTCATGCACATTGCTTTTATTGTTTGACAGCTGTTACATGTAAATTAATATGTGAATTTAATTAATTTGTATAGTAGTTCCAAACAAGTGCTCAGTTGGCATACTGAATTGATTACATGTATTTTCTTATTTTTAATTTGTTCCTGCAGGAGCATGCCTTCGAAAATAGTCAGAAATACAAAGAGGGCAAGTACATCATTGAACTGGCTCACATGATCAAGGACAATGGTTGGGACTGTGACTGAGTTAAAGCATGTACGTGTCATTTGATAGTCATGGGTATTAAGCAGAATTCTGAACCAGCAGTTACCAGTGATTGCTGGTTCGATCGGATGTCAGCGGGAGGTTTGACTCTGATTATTCTATTGTAAATACCCATAGCAATATTTTATGTATCAGATGGTGCCAAGACCCAAAGTGCCCATTTTATCAGTAGCTCTGGTATTGTATTTGCTGCTGAATAAGGATTTGATTAATTTTGTCAATACTTGTGTAATGTAGTCAAAGAATTCTGCTTGTTACTTATAGTGAAGACCAGTGCTGTTCCCATCTTTAAAAGATTCTAAGATAGTACTTTGCTTTTCCTAATGAGGGATTAGCATCTCAACAGAAAGTGCATTTGAGTACCTGTGCATGCATGCATGTTCATATCTCTTGGACCTTGGATATCATACCTTCCGGTACGTATAAAATATTAAGGCAGCATTGTTCTTATGTCTTAAAGATATAGCAGGTCTTGCTTTAACAGGTTTTCGTTACAAAACATGCAGGGGTGTCTTTGTGACTGTAATGTATGCTGGGGAAATTGTGTAATATTGATTAATTGTATGAAACTTATTTAAGTGTATCCTGTTATGAACTCACTGATGAAATGCTTCTTAAAGGCTTTTTTAACCACTTGATGCTGGATGAACGTGTTAGCCGTCGGGAGGGTTAACACACACAATTTTCCTTGGTTGTTCCATGGAGGACGTGTACACTCATTTAAGAATTCTTTTTTCATTTCCATGTAAACATATTAAGACGTCCTGCCTGGTTGGGTCAAAGCACAAAAGATGATCCTACATGCAGACACTACTACTAAGTGACCTCACCTCCAACCAACAATAAAACAAATGCCTTTCTTGAGTCATTAGAATTGAAGTGGGAAGCCCACACCATACACAAAAGAGTGATGGGGATTAAAACCTCCTTTGTTTGGGTATGCGGATTTGCTTGTGATTGAAACCACACTTACAAAAGAGATAAGGTTACTTGTAGCAACTCCTTTGTATTGAAACAGTGGGCAAAATACACATGGCCAGGGGTGACTCCTGTATATGCGCTATGGACCTTTCGTGTGTGAACCAGTTGATGTGTGGACACGTACCACAATTTTTACCAGGGCAGTTGGAAAAACGGGGAAAAGAATGAAAATAACTGATGCCTAAACTCAAGAGCCATGCCTCCCTACACATTTTATGAACGTCATAGAGAAATTGCAAGGTTGACGAATTTGCGGGAAAAAATACCCCCCCAGCAGCTTTTTCTGGTAAGAAAATCAGACGTTAACTAATTAAGGTTGTTGAAGCTTACCAAAATAACCTTGAGTACAGGTACATGTATGTACATCTTTTTAATAGGAAAAATTATTCAGTGCAAGCATTCACAATTTTGTTGCAATCTTTACCAATACTAGTATAGGGCTGTTGACCAACTTGATAGTCTCTTAAGAAGCCCAGTTGGGCTTAAGTCGTTAGTTTAGTTGTGGGGTCTTGAATAGTTTACCACCTGAAATTGAGCAATGCACAGAATCACATGTAAGAATTTTTTTATTAAATTGCATAGGTTGTGATAACTTACATGCTAGCCAAGATAGACTTTTCTGTAGTCATGCCAGATAGCTGCGCTCTGTAATGATTGCAGTTTACAGTGCATGTAGAAATGGCTGTCAGCAACGAGGCCCTTGTTGAAGCATCGAACCATAACATGGCTTCTAAGGTGTTCTTAAAGTCATTTGCACATGTGATTACTGGTAACCAGTTAGCTTGCATACACACTCAAGCAGAAGTGTATACTACATGTACACATAAATGATTGAAAAATGCTGATTTGGGGTTTGCAGTCTTCCTGATCATTTGCTCATAGGTCTCTCTCAAATGATGCCACTTCCTAGAGGTGGTGCCATGTGGATTGGCATGTTTTACTTCATTTATTTTAAGCCGTATTTTGAAGGTGATTGGATCAACATGTGCGCTATTTAGAACATTTTGCACACCGGGTAGTTGCCACTTTCTTACAAAGATGGCATCTAATGAGAGAGATCTATACATCATGCAAGTTTGTCAGTCATTTTATTAAAGTTTAAGCGTTAGATGGAAAGAAAACATCGGATTAAAAAAATTTTACAACGTAAGAGGGACAAAAAGGTGGACCCAAAAATCCAGTGATGCAGTCAATCCCCCTTGTCCTCAACCAAAATGTTAAGTTCCAGCCAAGCCTGAGGCCAGTTATAAAAGGGTTTCTAAGGCAGAACGTACAAATATATTTAAATGAAACAAAAAACAAATGCTTATATAAATATATGTGAAAAAACTTAATTTCTTTGTTACTTATGAATTTGTGGCTGTGCCTTTGCTACATATGCGTGTACAATGCCTAAAGGTGGATAGGAGACCAGTCAAGGACATCTAACATCAGTATGTTAAGCAGTTACCGGTAGTCTTGTATGCATTTAAAGTATAAAGTTTGTCTGAAGTTGTTTGCTGTTATCTCTGTTACTGAGTTAACTCCCGTAGAAATATGAAAAGGTTATCTTGAGTACAATAGACAACTAATACTGGCCCCAACACTGATCTAGTCTGTATGGAAAAATTAGAGTTTTGTGTGTTAATGCAAGAATGATGGGTGGGACAGAAGGGAGAGAACTATGAATTATTGTCTAATGTAGACTCATTTACACATGCTTGGGGTTCTCTAATTGTGAAATATTCTTCCCACCTTTTTTACCTACCTATTCTTCCTCACAAGATAATTGGCATGGGGCTGTGTTTGAAATCAAAAGAGAGAAAAAGGAAAACAAAGAAAGAAACTTTTTTTCTTGGGTTTTACTTTTTTCTGACTGGTTGTCCTGAGTTAGCCACTAGCAAAGTCTGATCCAGACTGAGTCCAAAAAGCCAAAAGTCGGTAAAGCTGGGAATGAGTCCAAAGTGTGGATTCAAATTTTGACTTGAGTGTGATCAGACTTAAGTTTTCTATCACTGCTTTGAATTTATAAAATGACCCTTACATGTAGCACGTATGTTCATGCCCCTAACTTAATTGGTGCGCATGCGCACTGAATCCCACTGCAGTGCTAGAAGCCAGTAAAATGGCTCTTTACTTGGGCAGTTGGACCCACAAATTAATCGGTCAACATCAAGCTCAGATAAAGTTATTTGCCCCTATTTCCATACCGATTATAATTTAAACACTCAAAGTCCCTTTTGCTAACTTGCAACTTTAAAAATCCATTTTTTGCCAAATTTTTGCCCATCTTTGTCACGTACCTCAAAAGTAACAGGGTCAGAAGTTGGAAGCCAAAATTTAGAGAGGATTTTTTTCTGTTTTGCCGGGTGTTCCCTGAAATTTCTCTACTTGTTAATGGGGAGAAATATCATGAACACTCTAATGAGAAAGCATCATACAAGAAGGAAACCTTAAGAATGAAAACAGAAAGTTTTGTTTGTGCCTTTTAGTAGGGCAATCTGCCATGATTGTATGTATTTGTGCAATGCAGTAGGCCAACTCGTACCCAAATGCACTCATATCCAGGTATGAGTACGTGTGCACCGTGCCCAAAATCAGGACATCTCATTTTTGACTGCAGCCAAAGTCTGTGCAGAAACGTGAATCCGCATGAAAAACAAATGGCATTTCAGGCAAAAGCTTCCCGATCTTGAAAAAAATGAGTTGATAGATACAAAAATTATCAGTCCTCCAGACAGTATCACCAATGATCTGAGGGGAATTCGAAAAAAGTGTGAAAATTGGGCATTAAGTAAGGTGAAAAACACAGAAAATTATGAAAATGGGTCCCAATGAAAAACGAAGTTGAATTTAAAGAAAAACGGTTTTCTTCCTAGACCTAATAACCTTTTTTGTACATAAGAGTTACTAGTCTTTCATGTGGCGTCAAAGTTCCATGAAGGTAAACTCGGCAAAATTGTGAAAATTAGACAGTGTTAGGTAAAAAACGATAATTTTTCATAATTATGTATGTCAACATTATTTATGTCTTAAAATTGGCATTTTCCACATTTTTTTATTATTTTCCGGTGATCTTTCTTACCAGAAGCTATTAAATATCACCATTTGATAGACTCTTGCCACTTTATTCACACACGAGGTCTTCAATGGAAATGGCAGGACAAATCCCTCACATGGGTCCCCTCCGATATGCGTCACCTGCTAGAATATTTTTCAGGGCCGACGACCTATGTCACTATTACGCATGCACAGATACACAAAGTAAATGCATGCACAGTTTATGGGGACTGAACATACGTGTTAAGGTCACCATGACCCTGTATTAATGGGTAACTCAATATTTCATGCATGTACAGTGTTAAATGTACCATTGGTGTAGATGGCAGTGACATACAGGTACATGTATTGCATTATTTGAAAGGTCATGTTGACTTGCAAAATCTGGTATTATTTGGTGGCATCCTGTTCTGTCAACGTCCAGTGGAACAGAATGGACATTTATGCCACAGTAGTCTATCAGTAACCTTATAATATCAATACCCTTTAACATTGTAATAACCGTTACATAAACTGTACATGCATGTGCTGCATGTGTGTTTCCAGCAATTAAGGCCATTACAAATCTCTTTATTATCCTGGTTTTTCAAACTGAGATGGACAAGGGTCTCTTTATTTTTTAATTTTTCAAGATGAGTATTTAAATTCAAAATGGTCGCCAACTTTTCAGTTCAACCTGACGGCTGGCTTTTTAATAGCTATAATACTACTGACGAGTCAAAATATTCATGTTAACAGTGTTTTCATAAGTGCCCAGTTAATATGATTTGAAAATTTTTTTGTTTAGGTGAGGGATAAAAAGGGACATGGCTCCGAGAAGGGACAGATGTGGGTGGGGGACAATCACCTTGTTTTTTTACTTAGCCTTTTTGTCCATTTTCAAAGAGCACCATTTTAAATTTGGAGAAAGTGATTTATCCGTAGTATCTTGCACAAGTTGTTAAATTTGTTTGTAAAAGTACCGGAATTGGAAGAGGAGTAATTTTTTAACAATTGTCTAGGCCGCACACTGTGTGTGTGTGTGCATGTCGTTTGCATGTGCTGGTTGCCAAAAGTCACTACGTGCACTCATGTGCACATGCACTGTACATGGCAGTCTAACATCTACTTGACAAGCAACGTGTATATGCACATACATGTACATTTACATGTAGATGTATATGTACTACATGAATACATTGCACTACGTACACTGCACTAGTTGTACTGTACCCTGTGTCTGTCTGCATAGCTCGCTCTGTGGGTTTTAGTAGTACACGGTGGCTTGTTAGGCCTGATAAGCTCCCCTCGACCAAAAAGCACTGAGTGGGCCTTGGACAAGGCTAGGTTTAGGCACAAAAGGCATTGTCATCAATAAGCTTGAAGGTTGAAGACTTGCCGGTTAAGTCATGAACACTGTCTTGGTTTAGGCACAAAAGACAGTGTCATAAAGAGGCTTCAAGAGTGTTTTCTATGACACATGGCGGTTTTCTCCCTTTGCATTTCAACAAACACAATTTTTCAAGATGTATGAGCTGAGTTTTGGTCCATAGGGTTCCATAAAAAAGAACAAGGAATTTGGGATGAACTGCTCAGTAGCTGATCAATATTTTTCAGTGTTTACTTGAAACATCATTGACAGCTTCTCATAGAGCAAGTTTTTTCATCTACAGTTCAGATTATCAGTCATGCATGAACCAAGTATCATCTAGCTGGTATGGAATGAAAGAGGACAAAATGATCTTTCGGATGAAGTACATGGAAACATTCATCAGTTAATGACAATTCACATCTGGGCTAATCTTTTCTCATTTGAGGAAACATTGCATTCCTCAAGCAAGCATTTGTTGTGAAAATTCTAAAGTTGCACACTGTTATCTCACAATTCCAAATGGAACATGGAAACAGAAGTATGTCCCACTACTGTAAGACTGATGGTCAAATGATAATTGGATGCAGATATGCTTCATTATTCCCATGTGGCTGAGTTGAAGTGTGATACTGAATTTATCTTCAAGCGAAATAGAAACACAAGCACCACTTCCAACACTTTTAGAAATCCTACAGCTGTTTATCAATTGGCTTAAGGAACACAATGAAGCATACCCTTAGAATACTTGTACATGTACATGGAGTGTGATATGTGTTGTGGTATTTGAATATATATTGTATGGGCTGTTGCTATTGATTGGCTAATCAGAACCAACAGTTTAAAGACCAACTCCAACGGTTTTAAAAGTTCTGAAAATAAACTATGATTGTGTTTAGTGTGTAATAAATCATAATGCTCATTATCACATGATGTCTGTATTGCTTCTGTATTTTTGTAATTTTGCTTGAAAAGGGTGTCTTCGAGTTTGATGAAAAATTTCCACAATCCGACCGCTGTTGGCGCTATTGAGAAACGAAATTATTTTGTATGATGCACAGACATATAAACACCTAGACGGACAGCTCTTATTAAAAACAACGGCAGGGTACCGTAGCCGAGATGGTACCTGACTAAATCCAAAAGTGTGGGCAAACTCACCCCTTGGTACAGGGACTTTACACATAGTTGAAGAATTCCGGCCATAAATGCTATGAAGCCATTTCCCGATTGTGAAAATATCCTCTGTTCAAGTTAATCTGGCCAATGCAGATTCGAAACAGTGCAGTTCCGACATTTGAAAAGAAGAGATAACAATACAAAAAAGTAAAAAAAGGGAAGTCCTTTTAGAGCACATGTAAACAAATACATGCATTCCCAGTGCATCATGCGTAATTCGCACTGAACTCGCTGCCATTCGTCGTTTCACTCACTGCTTGCCCTCGCTTGCCCATGGTTATACGCGCAATATGTTTATGTATGTGGTATGATGTAATACCGGAGAAAACATTAAAACTGGTATCTGTGGCATGACTGACTCTGCTACAAATGTACAAGAACATGGAGCTACATGTGTATGCACCCTACCGCGAACCAGGGATCGATCTGTATGCTGAGTTCACTGTGCTACATTATCTCATTTCCGTCAAGAGTTTGTGCTCCTTTCTTCGTGATTTACAATAATGCCAAAATCGTGCCTCACTGGTGGACATATAGATTCTGTGAAAGAACCGGGATTGAAATTCTTCAAGATTCCGAGGAATGGAAGCATTCTTCATGTTCGTGCTGTCGTCCACGGCTACATATGCTATGCATGCCTAAAGTGCACGTACTGCAGTATTTCCTCTCCAGGGGGTAACACATCACAAAAATCAGTGTTAATTAAA